TTCTTGTTACACAATATAAAGATGAAATGTTCCATGTGAACTCTGGTAACTAAATAAATAACCACTGTATACATAAATAAAATTAAAAACATAAATCACCCACTACCACTTCAGAGCCAAGAACTCTAATATGACTCATTACAACACACACTGAGAAAGATATGAATAATGATGACCTGCATTATCACTTCAATCAAAATTTTTGCAATGGAAGTGTGGAATTATTTCCATTGTTTTTATGGATTTCATCAATTATTCATATTTTTCTCAAGTTGTCTAATAAGAAGCATTTTGACTCCATTCATGTACACTACTGTTATATTTCTGTTCAAAAATTATGTTTTCTCTATCACCACATTACCACCATTAATGCATTCTCAACTTCTGTTAAAAGTATTAACATCGTGATACTGTGAATTCCAGCATCTATTATTTTTTTTCTAACAAACACATTTCTGCATTAAATAATACAGTTATTCAAGCAGCCATACAAATACACACACAAAAATGAATCATTGGTACCATTAAGCAGCTGAAAAAAGGTAAAGAAGTTTGCATTTTGTCCAGTGTATAAAGACTGCTATTCTATTACACACTAAATTTGTGCAGAGCAGATTTGCTTTAGTTTTTTAAAGCCTTCTCTATGCTAGTATACTGAAGATAATAAAAAAAAAAAATGAATCTGCAATATCAGTAAGTGATATCTACTCAAACTGATTTTTTACCTGATGTATTTCCCATTTTGAAATTAAGATGGAAATACACATACAGCACTTGTGCAATATCAGCAAATTACTAAAATATTTGGCCAAATGCATATGCAAATAAAATAAATAAATAAATAATAAATATTACTCTAAAATATATTCCTTAATACCTCTAAATTATTACATATTTTTGAGCACACGTAAATTCCATAAATTCCACCATCAAAATGAATGAGCACTAAGAAAAGGGTACAACAATTAAACAGGAGACTAGATACACACTGCAAGACTACCCTGTAACACTCTTCAACTTTTTGTTTATTATTTAATCTAAAATAGTGTTTGATAAATCATTCATGATACATGCTAAAACATAGAATCTCTGCCCTTCTTCATAAATTCTTTATTTTCATTAATAAACTCATTTAATTCATTTCATCCAGCCGTGAAGATATACTTGCTGGCTATGTGTTTTGTCTATGCCTGAGCATTAACATTATGTTGATGCTCTATGTGGCTTCAAGTATGTTCTTCAAAGCACATTAAACAGTGTAGAAGCACAACATACCCTGCATCTTCACAGAGTCTTCCAAATTAAAAGAACATTAATATTAAAAACAAAAGTAATTATTTCATCACTATATCTAAACTGATAAAAAAAACTTTAACTGAATGCTTTCATGTCCAGAGAAGCAGAAATAATAATAACTAAACAAAGGGAAGAATGAAAATGGAAGACTTTTTTTTTACATTGGTGTCATAAGAGATTCTCCTTCTAATATTAAATAAATGCAGATAATAATGAGTCCTATAACCTTTTCTCAGGCATATTCTAATTTTATGTTTTTTCTTTATTTTTTTGAACAACAGCAAAAGTATAATACCCAACAATAACAATAAAAAGAAGAATGAAACAAAATAAATATATTTACAAAAAACACGTACACACATAAATTTATCACTCACAAATATGAAGCAAAATAAATAATTAAAAAAAACAAAAAAAAAAACAGTTCATATATTGTCATCAATTTAACCCTTTGACTACACTTCAAGACCATGGCTGTCATTCTAGATTATCGTTTGCAATGTATTAGGCAATGATAGTCCACGGCCCTCAAAAACTTTTATGTCTATCTGTATTTTGACAAGTAAAAAACAAATAAAATTGACCAATCAAAATTGTCAATGCTCATAAAATGTGATAGGTTGCTCAGATGAAAAAAAATCAACTTGATCAAATTGAAATAAAATAGAATATGATGTGTTATTTTCTTTGTTTTACTGAAAATGAATACAAATAATGATAAGCAAATTTTTGTGAGAGGTAAGTTGGCTTGCAGACTTTTCATGCTTTTGCAAAATGCTCTCAGTAAACAGTGAGTAATTATTGTTGCTCTGAATGTAAAAGCAGACTGAGAAATTAACCCAATGCTGACAGGCATGGTATGTACATACGTGCCATACCCACTGTGAGTTCACTTTATTGATTTTGCACATAGATGGCTGCACTTGAACTAAGTCACCAATGAGCCAATTGCAAGTACTGCCTGTCTTGCTCGTTTACCCTTTTCCTTGATTTACGAAAATATTTTACGTTATCTTAATCTGCAGTTACTAATGTTTATGACATTATAGTAATTATAATGTCTATAATAAAAATAACATCATTGATATTTATAGCATCAGTAAAAAAAAAAAAAAAAAAAAAAAAAAAAAAAAAAAAAAAAAATAATAATAATAATAATAATAATAATAATAATAATAATAATAATAATAATAATAATAATAAT